CTTCGGCTAACACCCAAGGGCCTTCCATGACCAGGGACCTTTATACCCATGTAAAGGCCAGAGCGACCCTGTTACCTCAGGGTTCTGTTCTCCAACTTTGTCCAAGACCAAAGCGGGGTTCAGACCTGGCAATGTGACTGTTTCAAGGTCACTCAGTAAGGAGCATGGTGGGGCCTGGGTTCAAGGAGGACTCTTAACTCAGTGCTCATCCACAAAAGCTCCTTCAGGAGGGAGGGAACCCCCACTCCATCTACTGATGATTCTCCTTCTGGGAGGCCCAGCAGTAACCAAGATGCAGGAGGCTCGAAACTGCCCCCCCAAACAAAGCAGGGAGACCAGCATCAAGCTTCCCTCTGCTCCCACCTTCCTGGGCTTTAGGGAATGTAATTGCTCTGGTGTTTATGTAATACCTAAATGGCATCTTAATATAATTATTTGAATGGCTTTGTTGAAGTCCAATTTACATAGTGTAAAGTAAGACTAGAGCTTGCGTTGAACTATGATTTATTGTGTACATTTAAAAATATTCCCATTTAGAAATCGTATCGTGTGAGGGTAAAATAGGTCTTCTAGACTGGATCATTTGGGCTGATTTATTGGGAAGACCTGGCTTGATTGTGGTGGGTACCACCGGCTGGGCAGGCGGTGGGCAAGGCCAGCTGCCCCTCCAGCCCACACGTTGACTTTCTTCTTCAGGGAGATCTCAGTTTGGTTCCTAGCACCTGCTAACAGATCAACTAGGATAATCCTTTAATTAAAACCAGCCAATTATGAACGGTAATTACATCCACAAAATCCCCTTCCAGTCACACCTGACGACTACTGAATAACTGAAGACTACAAGAGAGCCAGGTTGATCTGTCAAATTAACTAGGGCACAGGTGAAACTGTCACCTCCTGGGGCCACTATAACATGCAAGAGACAAGGGAAGCGACCACCTGGAGGCTCGGGGGGGGGGGGGGGCTGCGGCTTAGCCTGGGGTGGGCAGTGCTGTGATGAGGGAGCTTTAAGACTGGGCCGGGCAGAGGGAGGCACAGTAGCAGCCTGGGTTTGTCTCACAGCTTCTTGATGCAAAAACTTAACCCTGTGCATGTCCTCTAGACAGCCTGGGCTTCAGTCTGCAGGTTATAAAGTCAGGTACCCTTTTTTTATTAGCCTCTGCATGTTTACTGAAAGGCTGGGTATGATGCTCGGTGGTAGAGCATGTACTTAGCATACATGAGACCCCGGATTCAATCGCCAGCACAAAAGCAAACACATACTTCTGCTGCTTGTTTCCTGTTCTACACGCTGACGCCAGGGAGGGTCCAGTGAGGTAGCGGCCGGCAGTGGCTATAGCGCATTGTTTCCTGCCTTGGGGCCTGGGGCTGAGAGCCTGGTGTAGATTAGTTCTCCTCACCTCACAGCAAGCCTACAAGGGAGCACACCTGTGACCCCAGCTGACAGAAAAGGGTCGCCCATGAGCACACTGGCCTGTGGGCCCGTCAGACGGTTGACAAGTAAAGGCACTTGCCTGGGAGCCCCTTCCATGTTGCTAGCTAGTCTTGTCTTGTTTGAAACACTTTCCCAGAGCTGAGGGTGTGGCAGGGCAAACGGTACACCAGGGACCCTGGGTTCAAGCCCCATCACTGAAAAAAATCAAAACAAAAAGACTTTCCAAGGCACAAAATGCTTGCCCCTCTGCCCCTGGAGAAGCTTGTGTGAGACCCCGAACAGCTGGCATCGAGTGGGCAGACCTACAGCTTCCGCCCTCCAAGTGTCGTGCTGCTGGAGGAAGGCTCCAGTTAGGGGGGCTTCCTTTAAAGATCCAGCCTTGCCACCTCTGAGCCTGCAGGAACCTCGGGTTCATTATCCAAAAGCATGGACTATGGTCCTTGTCCTAGCCAGGGAGTTTGGGAGCTTGCTTACAGGTCCAGAAAGGCCCCAGAACCATTGAATTGACCTTTCCTAAGACCCCGGTTGGCAGGGAGATGGCAGTTGGGGCTGGATTACACCCAGCAAAACTTCAGAGCCAGCTGTGCTGAGCCAGCAAGAGCTAAAAATAACCATCACGTCTTACAGGGACACTGAGCTGGCCCAGAGGCAGATGGGAGTGGGGGGGAGGGGGTGGGGACATTCACCCACCACCAGGACTCCCCACCTGCAGGGGATGTGTGTAGGGGGATCCCCATCCTCGGCTCTGCAGAGTTGGCCACAAGCGACACCGGAAGGGGAGGGCCTGTTCCTTCTGGCCAAGGCGCTGGAGAAAATCCGATAGTATGACTGGGTGTCAAGCTCACACGGGCCACGGATGCGTTTCTAAGTTTCCTAGAAATCTAATCTATCCAGAATGTTGAAATCGTTTTAGCATGTCAGCCACATAAAACGTCAGTGAGATAAGCGACATTCTGTCTTCACTATAAAGTCTGGGCTGTAGTTTTCAGCACTTCTCAACTGGGTGCCGCCACAATTCAAGGGCTGCATTCATTTCCTGTGGCTGCTGGAACACATTACCACAAACACAGTGGCTCAAAGCCACACTCGCCTCCAGACCTGGAGGTTAGAAGACTGAAGAGATTTACAGGGTTGGGCCCTAGGTAATGGTGGCCCCTGTGGTGCACACAGGCTTGGGTTCTCTTTCTCCATGACAAGGTGCATCCACCTAACTGAGGTTTGTCACCTTTCTGTGTCTGTCTTCTTTGCCCTTGGGCTCTTCTGATTCTTTTTTATAATTTCCTTTGTGACCTTGGGCCCCTGGGTAATCCAAGATACTCTCTCAAATAAAGATACTCAATTTAATTGCATCTGCAAATCCTGCTTTGCCACTTAAGGCAGCACATTCCCATGTCCATGTGTGAGCGCATGGAGGGCTGTCTTCAGCCTGCCTTATTGCTTTAGTTCACATGGATTAGTGACCACCAAGCTAGGCAGGGTAGCTCCACGGCAAAGGTGTGAGCAAAATCAGATTCCTGCTGAGGCCCAAGCTCAGACACAAATTAACTGTGGGCCACGGGGCAAGTTACTTCATATCCTCACAACACTACACTGTCTTCCCTGTGAAATTGATAACCTATACAGATTAGGGTGATATCAACAGAAGGTGAAGTGATTACTGTCTGCAAAGGGAGCTATCCTGGCACGTGTGTGCGCGCGTGGGCTCGCACATGTGGAGTAGAAGACCTGAGTCCTGGCCATCTGTGGTGCTCGGTAGACCTCATGGGGCTTAACATCCTCGTTTAATAGATGGGGGAACTAAGGCCGAGTGAAAAACGCTTTGGATAAGGTTGGCACTCATGGCCTGTGCTTATCTCCGCCCACCTGGCAGAAGTGCAGAGCCCAGAGACAGCAAGCGACTGTTCTAACCTACAGCAGAAGAAAACCGCTCTGAGGGCCTTGGCGTGGGTGCCCTCATCACCCGCACATTACAAGGTGTGTTTGAGCGTGAGCTTCCCAGGACAGTCACAGCAGGGAGGAGCTGGTGCCTCAAGTAGGTTCAATCTTACTGCTGGGCTGGGGACTTCTCCAGGGGTGGAGGGGTGGGTGCTTCGAGGTGAGAGTATGGAAAGAGTTTTGTGTGTGGAGGGACACCAGAAGGCTCCTGCGCTTACCAGGAAGGTTGGCCACGGTCAGGAGGTCCAGGCCCACAGTGGCTCAGCCCTCTTGGAGGAGATGCTTCCCTGAGTGGGCTCCTCACTGCCTCCAAGCTCTTTCCCGAACACCCTGCCCCCAGCAAAGAGGCCTTCCTGGGAAGACGATCCAGTCGGTGAAGTGCTTGCCGCACAAGTGTGAGAACCTGAGTCCTGAGTTCAGTCCCCAGCACCTACATAAAAAGCCAGGCGTGTTGGTGCTCGCTTGAAATCCTAACACTGCAGAGGAGTTGGCAGGTGGATTCCCAGGGCTTGTTGCTAGCCAGTCTAGATGAATCTGTGAACTCCAGGTCTCAGTGAGAGGCCCTGCCTCAAAAACCTGAGGAACAACACTGAAGGCTGACCTGGCCTCCACACATGCACACATCGTGTGCACGAGCAGTCCCCCACAAGCATCCTCACATACATGTACATGTACGGGTACACACATGGGGGGGCAGAGCGAGGGACAGAGAGAGGGAGAGGGAGAGGGAGACAGAGAGAGAGAGAAAGAGAGAGAGAGAGTGAGACAGACCCAGAGAGGGCACACACACACACACACACACACACACACACACACACACACACACACAGAGGCAGACAGACAGAGACGAGAGAGGAGGCAGGAGAGAGGAGAGGGAAGGGGGCACCTCTGATAATTCTGCGAGTACAGTCTTTGTTGCTGGGGCAATGAATCCAACTACTCCATGCTTACGGGGGGCTGAGGGCTGTAGGCAGAGGGGTAAGCGCTGCTGACTTGGTAGGTGGCCCGGCCCGGCAGCTGCCCGGGCCCGGCGGCTGCCCCTCTCTGGATCTTGCTATTGCTCTTCGGTGAGACCTGGCCGGTTATGCTAGCATTGCACCTCTTGACTTTCCCAGTAGGAAAAGGCTTTGGGATAGGTGGGACCGGAGGAAAGGACCCAGCAGAATGCCAATGGCCCAGGGTGGCTGTACTATCCGGCTCCCTCTGCTGTGCTCCATAAACCCCATCTGTGCCACATGCATGCGCTCTGCTTAAACACATACATGTGTGTGCATGCATGCTCCAGATGTGGAGGCAAATGAAATCCAGCTCCTGGCACAGGGTCACTGGGGGATCCCACCCAAGAAGCCTCCCCTCAAAGGCAGAGTACGGCAAGCAAGAGGCGTCTTTACCGCAGAGGGAGCCTAAAGGGCTAGCAGCTATTCTAGGAGGCATGACACTTCCCATTTGACCCCCTGCCACCCACCTCAGTCCCCAGGGAGGCTACCACAGTGAGCAGTAAGTCTCTGACCATGGAGGCGGAGATCTGCCTACTGCCTGTTTGCCCTTGAGAAAACGGTCTGACCTCGCTGAGTTTGTTTCTTCAGCTATGAAATACTGTTTTCAATAGGCAAGAAAACTTACTAAAATATTCGCAGCAGTGCTCTCCAGTTCCTGGGATCACGGCAGCTTTTATTTCTGCCCAGCCACTACTTTTTACAGCTTTTCTATGTGTGTTTCTCATCTGCGTAGAACCTACAGGTTAATGACGCGAATCACAGGTGTTCCCGCTTCCCATCATTCTCTGTGGGTCTCTGTGGACATGACACTGTGGCCTCTGAGCAAATATTGTCCCAGCCAACCGCTTGCTTCCTGGCCACTGTGGGGCTGGCATTGTCCTGCAGAGTTGGCCCTCAGGCTCAGTGAGGGACCTGTCACCTTCCAAGGACTGATAAAAATGCAACCTTGTCTTGGCTGGAGGGAAAACTAGTGGAAGGGAGGGGAGCTGCTCTGGCCTTGGCATGCCCATCTGTAAATGGGCACAAGTCTGTTCACCTCAGCGGGGGGGGGGGGCCCTGAGGATCCAGGGAAACAGGATTTGCCCGCAGCTTGCCTCCCTGACCCCTGAATCACCCGGAAGAGATAAGCCCAGGACTTCTCTGTGAGATAAACGATCTGTTTAAACCCTTGTCTCATCCTCTGCTAACAGGCCAAGGGCCCTGCAGGTGCACGGCAGCTCAGCATTTGATGTTTTCTGTGTTCTGGCCAGCTGGCCTGTCCGTGTTTTGGCTGGTCCAGCTTCTCTGCCTTCTCCTCCAGCCTTTGGTTACCCAGCCCCTGCTTGCAGCCAAGACACGTCCTATTCCTCCAAGGCTGTTCTCTCCTCCGCACCCAGATCTTCTCCATTTTAAAGCATTTCAGGCTGGTCCAAAGGTCACTTCTTCTGTGAAGCCCTCCCTGATTTGTCCAATGGAGTCTATGCTTTTCCCATCATTCTACTTTTAGTGATAATGCTCCACTATCATGCTGGTTCCTCTCAGCGAACTAGGAGATTCAGGAGAGTGGGTTTCATGGCTCACTGTTTCCCCCGGGGGAGGGTCTAGGCATAGATGATACACACAGCTGCCCACAATGCTTTGCTGGAAGCACAGTGTCTCTCACACTGTGTGAGGACATCTCTTCCCATCAGAAGTGCACCATCAAAGGTGTGGGGTGTGGCTGAGCAGAGCACTTGTCCATTGTGCAGGAAGCCCTGGTCCCCAGCATCTCATGGGATCAGGCAGGGGACACACACCGATATTCCAGCACTTGGGAGCTACAGGCAGGAGAATCAGGACTCAGCATCATGCTTGACTCTAGAGCGAGTTTGAAACCAGTCTGGGCTACCTGAGACCGAGGGGAGGGGGGACGGGAAGAAGAGGGGGGGAAGATGCATGGATGGAGAAACAGTGGTCCCTAGCAGTGAAGCGGTCCCCTTTTGCTGGGCACTCTGTGAGCAGTCACAAAGGTGCTGCGTGCTGGACACCAGCTCCCAATTGGCATGGCAACATCTTTCCTTGGCCTGGGTGTGCTCCTGGCTGTTGGGAAACTGGGCTACTAGGTTTAGGTGAGTGGGGATATGAGGATCCTGGGAATCTCTCCAGAATCCTCTGTGACTGTAGCCTCACCAGGGACAGGAAGCTTGGAATTCAAGGCCTTTGTTGTTTGTTTCATCTGTAAGAACATCAAGGGTCTTCAAATCCAACCCACAAGCCCTTCCTGGTATAGCTTCTGGAATTATCTGTTAACACAGGAACTCAGCCCAGGACAGCTCAAATTCATACTAGCGTCCAACCCTTCTGCCCTGAGTTCTTAGTTCTGAGTCTGAACAGAGAGACTGGACATGTCTCCAGTCTCCACTGACCTACAGAGACCTTCCTAGTGGGAGCACTCCTCTGCTTAGACCCCACAGGCCTGGCTCAACATCCGTGCCTCAGGCCAGTCTTAAGTTGGTCTCAACATTCAGGACCTGCTGGCCTGCTGGTGTGCCGGCCTCTGGTGTTTGTGGCCTGTGTGAAGAAAGCGCTTTTGCCTCCTCCACTCTGTGTCTGCAGGCACAGCTCCAGTCCGCCCACTCCGCCAAGCTGCCGTGGCACACTCTGGTCATGCCAGCTGCAGCCCATCCTTGCCTTGGACTGTGGGCTCCAAGGGCAGGGCATGGACGCCCATCTAGCTAAGTCCCCCAGTCAGGAGACACCTCCCATCCCTAAGCACTGGTGTCCACAATGCACTTGAGGAACATTGTGTCGTCTTTTACGTAGGCGTGCTTGGGTGACTGCAGCTTGCTGAGGGGGAAGAAGAGTGGGCAGCCGCTGGCCACGTTGGTCTCACTCTGTGGCCGCTGGAAGGAGGCCGAGCTCAAGTCAGGCCTGAAGGCATCAATGGCGTGCTCACGATTGTTCTGGTCAAGGAGCATAAAGGTGACCTGCAGGGAAGGGGTAGGTGGACGGTCAGGCCTCAGGGGATAATAACATTGGTTTTCTTGGGAGCCCAGTGTTTGGGCTCAGAGGGCTCCATGCCCAGAAGCTGTACCTCTGGCCCCCCACTCCACCCCATGCACATGGAGAGGAGGCAGAGGTGGAAGGGGCTTCACATCTGCACTAGGGAGGGGACATCCAGTACTGTGGCAGCTTCAAGGAATGTGTGTGTGTGTGTGTGTGTGTGTGTGTGTGTGTGTGTGCAAATCAGAGATCACCACCAGGTGTCTTCTTCAATTGCTCTCCACATCATTGTTATTATTAATTATTATTATCATTTTATTCAGACTTGGAGATCATTGGATAGCAAGCCCCAGGGGTCCTCACAACTTCTCCTTCCCAGTTCTGGGATGGCAGTCCCCACACCTGATTTTGGTGTGGGTTCTGGGGAATGTAAGCCGTCTCCCTAGGCTCATGGCAGTGGGGGTTCTGGTGCTGTAGTTGAGCTGGCTGCTGAGACTGGGGTGCACCGACAAGGATGCAGGTCTCGGGCACCTACATGTGTCAGCTTCTGCTGGGACCTCCTGCCGCCAGGCAGAGAAGCAACAGCAGACCGTGGGTGGGGCTTCTGTCCAAGCCCTGGGACTTCCTCCGAGCTTGCGGTGTACCCAGAGCAGATCATGTACCTCCCTCGAGAAGTGTGTCACCTAGCACGACACAAACCCCTGTCCTGGCACAAGCCCCTGAATGTACCCCAGGAAACACGCTGCGTTACATTGCTGAAGCCGTCCTTCAACTTGCTGGCACTAGAATTCCTGGGGAGGGCGCTAGAAATCCTGGAGCTTGGGTCTTCAGCCTCCTCCAGAGTGTTCTGTTCCAGACACGGCAGCTCCCGCTCAGAGGGCTGGGAGCCTCGCTCACTGCGTTTGCACGCAGCTTCATTTTATAAAAGGAAACTGATTATAGTAAGCACAGGAGGCTTGCCCAGGCCTCAGGTTCGTAGCTAAAGCCAGCACTAGGACCCAGGTTACCATGCCCTCCCCAAACCCATCTTCTCCTGGGCCCATACCTTGTTCCGAAATGGCCAAGGCAGGAGAGCGTCATACTCTCCTCTCATGATCACGATGAACAGGGACAGGTGCGTCTTCTTGCCCGAGCCGTCCCCATTCAGGTACAACCGCAGACACAACTTATAACCATACTTGGCCGTGTAGAAAGCTGAAAGGCAAAGCCAGTGTCAGCCCAGGACAATAGGCCAGGGCTGGGCTTTGCAGATGAGGAGAGGGGGCGCAGCAGCAGGCAGAGGGCTGGGTGGGGGGTTGGAGCCCAGCTCTCTTCTCCAGAAGATTGTCAACAAGGAAGGCCATGCTCTTGGAGGTGGCCTAGCTGAGGGCCAGCCCCATGATCACAGAGGAGGCGCCTGCTCGATGGCCCTGGCGCTACAGTGGGGTTGATCTGACACCGGTCACCCGTGGTTTTAGCACTTCCCCGTGTGCCGTGCCGCTTGCCTCGTGGTCACACGTGGAATCTGCCATTTTAAACAACCCTCAAGTAGCTGGAGAATGAACCCAGGAAGGGGGGGTGGATGGGCACTGTTTTATGTGCAGGGGCAGGATTAGGGTTAAGGCCCAGGCTTTCCAGATCTTGGCACTGATTTTCTCTGCTGCCCAAAGATTGGGTCCTCCCCGGAGGCTCGTGTGAGAAGGGCACTTTTGTCTCTGCTACCAACCCTTGGGAATGGCCCCAAGAGGCAAGTCAGTCCCGATGACCAAGCGTGGGGGCCTATGTGGCTCTCTCTCTCTGATGGTACATCCTTGGGCAGAGCTCTGTGCCTAGCTCTAAGCAGCCCCCCTGCTGGGGCCCTCCTCCTTGACTTCAGTTTATCTGCCTATAAAACGAGGCTGTGAGGACAAGCACTTGCCAAGACTCTCAGATGTCACACCCAGGAATGGCCTGGTCCTGGCAGATGGTGTGCCTTAAACAGACCCAGATCTGCACGTAAATATTATATGTATGCTATCTATATGTGTACACACACACACACACACACACACACAGCAGCATTTTAGTGGGTAACAATAACTACCAAGTCACTACTCTGTTAAGTCACTGTTCTCAGCAAGGGACCCAGAAACAAGGAAGAACCACCCAATTCACTGATGCCCATGGTCTTCCCACACGCACGCGGCTCCCCAGGGCCTGATTCAGTCCTCTGCCTCTTACTTCAGACTGCGGACTAGAGAGTGCCACCGTCTGCACCTCTTTGCCGAGTGTGGTTGACATCCAGGAAGGACAGAGGGTAGCGGCTGCGCTGGCAAGAGCCATGGCTCAGAGAGTACAGCCTGTGTCTCCCTCACCACTGGCAGGGGCCCCAGTCCGACTCAGCATGGCCGTTCTGTCTCCCGGGCCCCCTGGGGCCTGTCTCTCCCACCCGTCCCTGTGCCCACAAGGAGTTACCTGGAGAGAAGAGGCTGACAGTCCTGCCACACACTGACTCGTGACACCGTCTGGTGACATTGGTGATCTTCCACAGGAAGGTGCCATCAAAGGAGGCCTCCTCCATGAGCCGCAGGCTCTGCTCAAGCTTGCCCAGGACCTGATCTTTTTGGGCCAGGGTCTGCTGCAACTCCACCACCTGCAGGGAAGGCTGGTCAGCCAGAGGCAGCAGCACCCAGGCCGGGGGACTGGCGGCAATAGTGGAGCATTGGGATGCATCACCCCAGAGAGGCTTTCCTGACCAAGCATCCATCACCCAGTGCCTGTGCCTGTCCCATACTCAGAGTCCCTTTCTCTCCTTGCTCCCCTAGCCGACTCCTAGCCATGCGGCAGGAGCCCAGCTCACGTAACCCTTCTTGTGAAGCCTCCAGTCATTGTCCTTGCTGGCTCCCCCACAGTGTTTCTCAGCTCTTATGGTGACACCCATCCTCCTGTCCGGGCTGTCTCCCCATAGCACGCTGCTGTCCTCTCTATGCATAGTGCCCAGCTGCAAGAGCGGAGCCAGAAGTCTGATGGTGAGATGGGAACCCTCGCTGCCTTCAGGGAACCTACTTTATAACCTGGGTGAGGGTGTAAATGGTAAAAACTGAGGATCTGCCTGGCTATGTGAGCCCAGTGCCTGGCTTGCTAGTAGGTTTCCCCCGAAGAAATCTGAAAGAATAAACTTCAGCTGTGAGAGAGAAGGTGAGTGGCTCGGACCTAACTGGCCAGGGCTGGTAGGGACGGAACTAATGGTGGCAGGAAAAGAGTTGCTGTTTTTACAAAGTGTCAGGAGCTTGGTGACTGGCCACACTGGGAAAAGTGTAATCTCTGGAAGAGAGGGTAGACTGAGAACTGTGGGCTTGCCAGTCTGGGACTACACTCTGCATGTGGGCTCTTGCAGGGCATAGAGGCGTGGGTCGCCATGCTCTCAAGAGCAGAGAGGACACTGAAGGCATGGTCTGCTAGGATGTGAACACTGACGCTCTGCAGAGCAGCTGTGGGGCCAAGAAAGCAGTTGCCCTGAGGGCCCTGAAGACCACAGTCAGGAACAATACAGGGAAAACACAGCTTTATGAAAGCAGGAACTCTGTAACAAGGAAACTGCCCAACAACGGCATGAGTGGAGGGAGAGTTCTGGGCCCGTTCTGTGGAGGGAGAGTTCTGGGCCAGTTCTAACCAGAAGACCTGGAGCACTGGATCGCATGCTATTGCCTTTTCCTCAGCCTTTGATTCAGGGTCTTCCTAGGATGTCCTGGGACACAGGGTTAGGGTTAGGATGGGGGCAACGGTTCTGAGCAGGACGATAGACTAGAAGTCTGGATGGCATAGGTGCTCCCTGAGCTGACTCCGAGAGAACACGCCCATCGCACTCACCCTCTGCTCCAAGCTCAGGATGTGCTCTCGGTCCAGCTGGCTCTGGTGGATGGAGGCGGCCAGTGCCAGGTGGGACGCCTCTACCTCCTTGTTGAGGACCGCCACGATGTTCTCAAACACACGCAGCTTCTCCTCCAGCTGAGCCAACTGCTTCTCTTTCAGGAGGTGCCACAGGGCCTGTTCATCCTGGCTCTCGCAGCCAGGTGCTCGGTAACAGTCGACCTCCAGGTCCCCAGCTGCCGCCACAGACGCCTGAAGCTGCAGCTCCGACAGGTTCCGCTCCAGTGCCGTGGGCGTGGAGTCCAGGTTGGAGCCTGGCAAGGACTTCCACTCTTTTAGGCGCCCCAGCAGCAGGTGCAGGTGAGAGGCCTGGGAGGTGGCCTCATGCTCCTGCGTGGATTGCGGGCTCCCCTGATGAGAGAGTGACAGTCGCTAGTCGGCAGTCAAGTGGGAGGAGACCCTGGGGACTGTCAAGGAGTCGTGGCAGCAAAGGCCACCAAGCAGAACCAGAACCATCATCCCGGCAAAGGGGAAGTGGCTGTCTGTATGGGGAAGGGCAGGGCGTGGAGCCATGTGCAGGAAGACAGTGCTTAGATACTCCCACACAGTTAACGTGTCCCAGTCTCCAGAGTGGCCATCTTGCCCTGCCCTTGAACAGAATGACAATTCAGGACCATGGAGAGGGGTGTGGGCGACACACATTTGAGTGATGCTACAAGTGTTTAGGTGAGGCTTTAAGAAGAACTTCCCACAGTACCACAATGACTTAATAGTTGGATTTGTTGCTTGGTAACTCATTAGCGTAGAAGACCCCAGAGGAGTAGCGTGGTGTTTTGGGAGGGTTTGGAGAGGGAGAGACGGGGGTGGGAAGGTGGCTGGCACCTTGGTCAGATTTGGCATGTCGTCATTTACCTTGAAGGAACAGCCGACACCTGCAAAGGGACACATGACTCCAGCTTCGGGCACCTCAGGGCAAACCTGGAAATCATAACTGTGTCACTGGATGCTGGGAGGCACCCCCAGGGCCACCCCATGGGCTCCCTCAAAGTGATAGGAGCCAACCAGGCCAGGTCTGGTCCACTCTGTTCTGTCTGCCTGGCTGACTCCTTTCCACCTTCGAAGTTTTGGCCCTTCTGAAATCTGTTCTACAGAAAGAGGCCCAGAGCCCTCCTGTCATTTGGAACAACACAATCTTTTCTGTCAGGACAGAGTCCACACAGCTCTGGAGCCAGCCCTCACTCTTCAGCTTCAGATGCTGAAAAAAGGGCTTCACAAAAAGAGCTCTATGAAGGTAGAGTGTGCCTGTAACCACCGTGAAAGAGCACTGCTCCCCATCTGGCGGGGTGGCTGGGATAGGGGGACAAGGCCTTCCCAGCAAGGACGTGGGGCCACAAAGCAAAATATAGACACCTCAGAAAACCTAGGGGAGCAATTTATTTATTATTATTATTTTTATCCAGGGTCTCACTATGTAGCCTTGGCTGGCCTGGAACTTGCTGTGTAGAGGAGACTAGCCCCAAACTCACAGAAATCTTCTTGCTTCAGTCTCCCAAGTGCAGGGACCAAAGGCATGCACCATCACACCCAACCAGCCTTGAACTTCTGGCCCTCCTGCCTTCATTTCCTGAGTGCCGAGGATAAACGTGAGTCACAGATCTTGGTTTATGAGATGCAGGGGAGGCCAGCACCCTCACAAGCTTTCTATCAGCTGGGCTGCATTCCCAGCCCTATGGAAGTATCTTGCAAAAAGCCAAACCCTACTTACTTAAATCACTTGCTTATAACGTATAATCGACCTACAGATAACCCACATATTCCACTCCCAGGAATTTATTCCACAGAAACAGGAAGTTATGTCTACACAGAGATGTGTGTGAATACACACAGCAGCTTGATTCACAACAACTCTAACCTGGAAACCATTTGGGGACAGCCAGGGGGTGAATGGATCACAAATAGTGTCTTCCTCCTACAGAACTCTACTCAGTCATCAAATGGGATTAATACTAAACACCCACTCTAACATGGAGAGAGACCTTGAAGCCATTATGTTAAACAAAGAAGTCAGATGTTAAAATGTATTGTCTCCCAAGTGCAGGGTCCAAAGGCATGCACTATCACACCCAGCTAGCCTTGAACTTCTGGTCCCCCTGCCTCATTTCCTGAGTGCCAAGTATAAACATGTGTTGCAAATCTTGGTTTAAGAGATACAGGGGACTGAACCCTGAGCCCTGTGTGCACACACATCTCTGCATAACTTCCTGTTTCTGTGGAATAAATTCCTGGGAGAGGAATATGTGGCTTATCTGTAGGTTGATTATACGTTATAAACAAGTGATTTAAGTAAGTAGGGTTGGCTTTTGTAAAATACTTCCATAGGGCTGGGAATGTAGCCCAGTTGGTGGTATGGACTCCAGGATGTCCTTCTGAAGGAAGTTTAGGGGAGGCAACATGATCCTGACGGGCAGTCGGCATGCTGCCTGTCACCAATCTGGACTGGGCTGTGTGTGCAGGGAATGACCAGCTCTCTGTGGACAGGAGAATTTGTCACCTCAGCAGTGGGGAGTCACCTGATTTTTTTTAACATTAACCAGGACTTTATCAAATTGCATACTTAAAATGAGCACATTTTTTTCTACATGTAAATGATAGCTTGGTTTTATGAGAACTTTTTTTGACAGAATAATCTAAGTGAATTAGGACGAGATGAGGGGAGGCCGGAGGGCTTCAGGGCTGAGCAGTACAAAGCCACAGGGTTTGTTTTTCTCAAAGCTGAGTCACACAGTTGGTTTGGGATGCAGAGCCTAGCCTAGCAAGGGCTCACCCACTTGCCCCACTGCCCCCTGCTCCAGGGACAGACTGTTCCCAACCAAGAATAGGAAACTGATGTTTGATGGGGACAGACAGAGGGTAGCCCTGGCAAGGAGACACACTGGCTTTGGGAACCTGCTTCAGTACAGCCTCTCCTACAGGTCACTATTGATGACATGTGGCTCAGGGACACCGGATGCCAGTAATTTCTGCCCTGGGACCCTCTAGGGCCCTGTGGTTCTATGTACCCTTTGTGGCTTGAAGCTGCAGTCCCCAGAGGGAGAAGGATAAGTAAGGGGGGGCATCTCACACTAGAATTCTGGCATTGCCCACACAGTGGGATGTACCCATGGGTAAGCAGGGCCTCTGCGCTGCTTGGATGTCTGGCTGGGTCCTAATGATGAGGCGTGCACAGCAGTTTACTGTGACTTGCCTCGAATGCTGACAGATGGTCTTCTGAAGGCCTAGGGTCAGCCAGGCTGCCAGCTCTGGTCACCTGTCACTCACTCCTTACCATGTACTCGGGGTGTGGGCTCCAAGAGACAACCTGTCACATTACTTTGTAGTGCCATGGCAATGGGAGAATTACTAAGTTGTCCAGGTTTAGTTTCCCCATCTGCGAAATAAAATAACACTGACCCATCTTATGGCTATTATAAGAATATGAGGTAATATATGTAAGTGCTCACATGGTTAACTCTTGTAGCTGTGACAACACTAAATGGTTTAACACAATACAAACTTACAATCTCACACTTTTGAAGGTTAGCAGACCTACTATGAGAGTGCTGGCAGCAGCAAGTTCCGCAGGAAGCTGCCTGCAGCCCCTGGCTTGAGGGTCCTCTCTCCATCGTCAAAGTCAGCATCCCCTTCCCGTCTCCCATGGATGCTCGTCTCCTCATAAGGGCCCTGTGGCTATACTGTGCTCACCCAGGCAGTCCAGGGCACTGGTCCGACCTTGCCTTCATGCCTAAGAGTCTTTTAGGTTTTGTCATTCATGACTGCTCCTGTCAGGTTTGCATGCCATGTACAAAGCATTTGGGGGCCTATTTTCCACTTGAAGTTAAAATGGAGAAAATGCCACCAGTCTAGGAGCCTGAGGTTGTGGTCTGGCTTTGCCAAATGATTTAGGTTCATGTACCAGCATCTCCTTTGCCCTGGGCCTTCATATGTTACCTATTAATAAATCAAGGATGCTAACAGGATGCTGCCGGAGTGCTAAGATTATAGATGAAAACTGTCACATTTAGGGTGTGAGGATGCAGAGTCACACTGGCTAGCACACTTCAGAGACTGGGGAGAGATGCAGGAGGGACACCACTAGTGTTTTCGCACACACTGGGACCCTAGGAACAGAAGACTGACCGGCCTTCCTTGAAGGAAGCTGTCTCTATACAAAGAACAAAAGAAGTCACAGTAGCAGTGGGTTCCCTGTTTTGAAAAGACATAACCCCAAGCTGCAGGAGCCCACTACATGTACATGCTGGAAGTTAGACTAGACTGCTTAAACTCCTGCCATTTGGGGTTCTAGAAACGGTCATGACATTATCATGAGCCATGAACCGATCTTCCTGACTGGACCTCAGAGGGAAGAATGTGAGAGAAACAAAGTTTCCTTTTTGGGGTCTCAGCAAACAGAGTCAAATGTTATTTCCTAATTCCTGACTTGTTTTGTTTGTGCCTGCCTGCCTGCCTGCGTGCGTGTGTGCGTGCGTGCGTGAGTGAGTGAGTGTGAGCGAGCATTCGTGAGTGCGTGTTTGTGTGTGGGTGTGTGCTTGCACCCAGGTGCACACGGATAGAAGAAGAGGACATCAGAGACCCTGTATCATCGCTCTCCACCTTGAGACTCAGTCCCTTGAGACAGGGTCTCTCGCTGAACCTAGAGCTAGGCTGGTGGAGACAGCAAGCTCCAGCGACCCTTCTGTCACCACTCCTCACATCGCCGGTGTTACAAGTATGCATGGCCAAGCCCAGCTACCCCCTTTAAACAGGGGTTCTGGGAATTTGAACATGGGTCCTCAGGCTTACACAGCAGGAACTCTTATCTGTCCAGCCCTTCTCCAGCTCCCAGCTCCTGGTTTGCCTCCTACCCTACTGTCGATTGTCCAGGAAGGTCATTCCAGGGAAGTATGGCCTCTCTGCTATCGTTGGTCTTCTAATATTCGCTTGCTATGTTGGTAACTAGCTGATGTTCCTGGGCCCTACATAAGGAGATGGAGCTCTATTACAGACTCAGGAGAGGACAGGTTGATAGCAGCTGGCATGGGGAGAGTTTGTGGGATGGGCACCTCGGGCTGAACTCAGCCGCTTTCCAGCTTGGCCTACGTGCCCAGATTTCATCTCCTAGGTGCCTTCAGACATGCAGAAAAAAAGCTGGGAGTTACCACATGCAAAGGTCTGCCTTAGTTACTTTCCTTAGGTTAAAAGCTCCCATCAGGGGCAGGATCAGAGAAGTCCCTGTGTGAGCAGCTGGTGGCCCATGCTTGAGTCATCTCTCCAGCCCCTTAGTTTGTTTGTCTTAAGACAGCAAATTTTAACCTGTGCTCATCCTGAGCCCTGGAAATCCCTAGAAGACTTGGACAGGAGAAAAAAATGGAGATAATATTGTTTGATGTTGGGTCATAGGTGCCACAGTAGAGAGAGGAGCTCTCCAAGATGTTGTCTTCACTTTCTGAAGGAACAGAGGGGTTCAGCCTTCTTGGAAAAGTCTGACATCCAGCTAGCTCACCCCAGCTACTTTATTCAAACATATACAAGGCTAATGGGGGCTGGGAAAGGTTCCAACTACCGGAGTCATCTTGCTTTTGCTGCCTGTAAGAGCAGAAAACCCACACGAATCCCAGTCCCTTTTGATTGTGGCAGCCATAATCAAAAGTGACACCTGCAGCTCTGCCAGGAGCGTCTTAGGGTCAGGGTTGGTGCAGCTGTAAGCTCTCACGTAGCACCAAGTGCAGACACCCCAGAGAAACAACTCTTCAAGGCTTAACGAGTCCCCAAACAGTTTCTCAGCCTTGACTGGTTAGCTCAAGCATAGCAAAGGCTCTGCTGAAACATTTCTCTCTCAGCCAGACACGAAGGCCTTAGAGCGAGAAATGAAGGCCGTGCTACTCTACGGGTCACTTACCCAGCTCCAGGTGCTCCTCCCACCCAAGCCTTCTGTTTGAGTTGGGTTTCATCTTAATAAACATGAAAAAAAACCCTAAAGGTGCTAGATTAAGTCATATTAAAGTGTATCTGGCCCGCGTTACCTAACATTTATGTAAGAGGCGTGTTTTAGTTTTGCTGAGAGGGAAGAACAAAACAAGGCTCGCAAGGCACCGAGCTCATTTCCTGTGCTGCACGCGTAAGGCACGGAGGCCTCAGAAAGGTGTCTGTCTGCTCCCATGTGGAAGCTGCTCCAGAGGCAGCCAGACAGCGAGGCTCAGCAGTTCTTCCAGGGAAATTAACATGAGCCTCATTATTATTCTCTAAGGGCCCGTGGGATGGGGGGAGGCTGCGGAAAGATGGGAGGGAAAGCTCTTCAGTCAGCTCTGGGCAGGAAGTCCCCACACTCTCTGACTGACAGGGGCTGGTGCAAAGGAGGGGGGGCAGGTGTGGAGCCCCTTCTGCATCTGGAGTGGGGGGGGGTGGCAGCTGTTGACCTGTGACTCAGATGTCATAGATCCTGGCAAGAGCCTTCTAGAACCAACGCGGGGAGAAACGGCGTGGAAACAGGCTTGCCTTCAGCCATGCGGGACTCAGGGACCCCAACCCATGCCTGCACACAAAGCTCTGGATACGTGGGCCACTTGTTCACTGCTTTGACTGAAAGCAGCATCGTTTGTCTCGCTTTGGGGACAGAGTGGATGGCCAAGCAGAGATCCCAGCGTGTCTTCCTCTCCCGTCATCCCAGAGGTCAGGTTTTACACACAGGTTTTGTTTGGGATCTTAATTGGGAGATTAACATAAAGATTGCTGTCTTTGCTCTATATGTGGTAAAAGGTTTACCCCCAATTCTTATTTACCTTCCTGCCATTTCACAAAGACATACAGGAGGACACACTCGCAGAATGGAGACAATTTAGCTTGTAACACCGAATACGTCTCTCTAGTTTTATCGTTTTGTCATGAGCTGCTGGGAGCTACACAGGAACCCTCTGAACCTTTCATCTTGGTGGGGAGGGATGGACCAGATGTCAAGGCTGTTGCATAAGCATGTCTCTCTGGCCCCTTCCACACGCCCACAGGTGTCGCTTTCTCCTGGACACACAGCTTGGCTCACACGAGAGGTGAGCGGAAAATGGCCTCTCTCTTTTTCAGGAACTGGCTGAATGTCTCAGGCAAGCAGCTGGAGAGTATATTTTGGAGTCTTAAAGTTTCTGTTTAAGAGTGCTCAACTCTGCCTTTGTAGGGAGAAAGCAGCCACAGGTGATACGTGAGGGCGAGGATAGATAGATACTAACAAAATTTTATTTGTGGACATTGAGTTTGCATTTTAGAGTCTTTATGAGTTCCAAAATACAGTTTCTTCCATCAATTAAACACATAGAAAAACCATTCTTTCCCTGTGGGATGTATATAAAACAAGGAGATGGGCCAGCATTGGTCCAGGTTCCAGTTTGTGGACCCCTGGCCTAGAAGGTGGCTTCAATTCTAAGTGGATCAGAGGCTGCCAGGTGGCTTAGGACTAACACTGTGAACACCTGTCTCTGCCTTGCTGGGAACTAAATTCACTGTAGGCTCAAGACAAAGCAGGGACCTCTCTCTCTCTCTCTCTCTCTCTCTCTCTCTCTCTCTCTCCCTCTTTCCCTCTCTCCCTCCCCTTCCCTCCTTCCTGTTCTCTGTGGAGGTCAAAGGACAACCTCGGGAGTAGTTTCTCAGGTGCCCGTCATCCATCATTCCCCGCTCTGTTTTTTTGGAGACAAGGTCTCTGGTTAGCCAGGAACTCACTATGTAGACTAGGCTAGCTGGCCAGTAAGTCCCAGGGGCCCGAGGGGTTCATGTGTCTCCTCTCCAGCACTGGCATTGCAGGTGTCATCACATACAGCATTTATTACGTGGGTCCCAGTGACCAAGCCCAGGTCCTCAAAGACTGAGCCGCCTCAGCAGTCTCCAGAGATGGCCGTGTCACCTTCCCTGTCTATGCTAACATACCTTCTCCTGAGTCAGAAGGCTTCCTGGGCTCACAGGTTGGCGGCTGTCTGCTCTGCACTTGGAACAGATCCGATCCTCACCATCTCTGAGGAAACATGAACAAGATTCTCAAACAAGGAAGGTACCACACCTTACTGGCACCTGCCGACCACCCCTTGCCACCTACCTGACAGACATCAAAGCCCAGACCTAGCATCTAGCAGCAAGTCCACGATCCTGGAGCCCCACCGTGGAAGCTTTGAAATGGCATCCGCTGCTTCCTGAAGCTAGCAGTGAGTAGCTTCTGCAGCCTGCCTGCCCTGACCTCCTGGCGCCTTTCCTCAGCCCTCTAGTGCGGTTATGGATGTCTCACTGTAGAAACGCCCATCCAAGTGCCTGGCTACAGAGTCTCCGCTGGGAGAATTGTCTTACGCACTGGCTTGCAGAAGTTCTGAACCCTAATGCTTCCAATCTCAAGGGTTTAGGCGAGGGGTTATGGGCATGGAACGCCCATCTGTCCTTCTCAGTACCACGTATGCGGTTCTGGCCGCTTATTGTTTGGCCGTGGCAGGTGATCTTGGCCTATTAGAACGGGAAGAGGAGCCAGGGTCTGTCTACTTGGAATGGGTGTCAGAACCGGACCCCCACTGTGGCAGACACCTGTGTAAGTGGTTCTGCCTCACAGGGAGCGCTGCTGACTCAGCCCGTTTCTAGGTGAGGAAAATGAGACCTTGGAGAATGGGGGCTTTGGATGGGCCATGGAGGAGCGAGGCACCTCAGGTGGGGACCCTGCGCTCTGTAGTCAGCTTCTGCTCCCTCCTCTGCCAGGGTTGGGAGGGCGTGCATGAGCTCAGGGCATCAGCTGGCTGGGAAGCCTAGTCAGGTGTGGCCTCCAACGCACCCGGCCTCTCCACTGCTACAGCCTCCCACCCTGTTCCGGCAGCCTACTGCTTAGTCACCCACCGGATCTGAACGTCCCATTCGACTGATTCAGTTTCCCCACAGTCGTAAGCTACAAGGTCCCAAAGAAAAGGTCATGCCTGTTTATGAGTGTCTTCACCAGGAAACACCCAGGAGGCAAGCAACTTGTCTCCTGGGGCTTTGCCGTTATACGCTAGGGTGGTAATTGTGCTGACCTCTGCAGACCGATCTGAGCACACAGGGGTGGCGTGCTTGCCCGCAGCAGGTGCACAGCAATGGCTTAGGGTGTGGACGCCACTACTGTTGCAGCGCATCTCAGACGGTTTCCCTTTAAGTGTAAATACACACCCTGCTGCTTCTTTGCCCCCACTAACTGGGCTTAATGCAATGAAATGACGTCTTATCACAGTTTGGTATTTGCCAAGGGGGCTATGTTCACTACTGAAAGAAGTTTGGGGAATATTACTGATGGAGCCTTGTAACAAGTCTGTGAGGCAGGAGGCTAGCTACTCTAACGGCAGGAATTTGGGGCTCCGAGACAGCCTCGGTTCAAACCAGGCTACACGGCAGGAAGTGGCTGAGTGGTGCTTACATTTCTACCTCAATAATGATGGACAGACAGACCCATCCGCCCCCAGCTAGGGGGCAGTGTCCGGAAGAAAAGAGAGGGAAAAGAGGCTCAGAGGAGTGAAGCTCCCAGCTGTCTCTCCAGCCCTCCCTCCTAGCAGGGCTCCCTCCCTGGCAGTCCTTCCCACTGGCCCTTGGCTCTTTGGCCCCTCACCTCAGCTTCTCAGAGAGACAGACCGAGCAGCAGAGAGCCCTGGGCTCTGATGGGTCCTGGCAGGCAGCAGGGGGGCAACCAAATGGAAACTCATTTTCATCAGGGGCTGGGCGGGGACCGCTGGCCGAGCTGGAGGCCATCTTAAAGTTTCGGGTGGCCAGAGAGGGTCTGTCAAGTAGAGCAGAGGACAAGCCTTGTGGAGTCTGTAGAGAGAGGTGACCTTTCTGTGACTTTATCTTCTCCTCTCTGGCTGTGCGGTAGACGTCACAGCTGAGTCACAGCAGGGATGGGGTAGGAATTACCCTCTGTGGTTAGAAAAAGTCCCTGGACAGAGACTGAAAACTTTTAGGAGTGTCCAGACATTTTTCAAAGTGAGAAAGAGCAAGAGACAGTCATAGGAAGAGAGCAAGTCTCCGGCTCGTCAGAGTCACGGTTCCCCCCGCCGAGAACCACAGGCTGTGGTTGGCTTCCTCTATCTCCTCCCCAGGGCACCTTGGTGGAGAGGCCACTTGTCTTGCCCCCCCCATCTCTGAGCCATGTAGAATTCTCTGTAACACTGGGTGGTGACAGTGGGGCTTAGCTTTCTAACGGAAACTGCAAGGGTCCTGAAAGCAGGTGCAAAGTTCAGGTTCTGGAACCTTCAGGGTGTCTCGGTGGCCTTGGGTAGATGCCACTTTCTTACACTGTCTCTCAGTTACCCTGTCTTGAAAAAAAAAAAAGTGAATTGCAACAAGTAGTCTGCAGGGCTTATGACCGGGGACCCTGGACTGATGCAACCAGAGGCAGCAGGAAGGTCTCTGGTGGCCCCACCCTGTCTGTGCATTGTGTATCGGTCATGATGGTGACCAATGGACAGGGCCCACCCCTCCCTTGAAGTCCAAGGCCTTGGCATCATGGGTGTTGCAGAGCCCTCTCCGTAAGCTCCACTCAGGAAGCCATAGGGTGTGTGTATCTGGTCAGGAGCCACCATGCCCGTTGAGAACAAAGCACTGAAGAAGTCTAGGTTCATGGGGATTCGCTCCCGGCCACCGAGCAGACTGTAGATCATGCGTGCATGAGGGTGAGCATGGAAAACAGAACTCTGGTCAGTCACTGTGTGCTGGGCAGAGTTTCTCCTCTGATCCTTACAGTCCTTCTGTAGCCATGCACAGCTTGGGGAAGCAAGGTGTGAGGCTCAGCTTGAGGTTGAGCTGCGGGGGGTGGGGTGGGGCGGGGGTCGGAACCAGGCTCTGTGCTGTTCCACCACAGACAAGGTAAGAATAAGGTGGCGTGGTAAAGTCTCAGAGCATCCAGCTTGTCTCAGACTGTCAAATGACAAAGACTGCCTCTGTATACCTTTCCACCCAACTGTACTGCTATAGGGTTTGTAGCTGCTTTCAAGCCACAGGCTCTGAGCTCAGGCAAGTCTGAAATGGGATCCTAGATCCACCATGTGGTCTTTTAATGTTTATTTATTTGAGACAGGGTCTCACTATGCAGCCCTGGCTGGCTTAGAACTGACTCTGTAGACCAGGTTAGCCTTAAACTCACAGATATCCCCCTGCCTCTGTCTCCCAAGTGCTGGGATTAAAGGCGTGCACCACCATGTGCCAGCATGCACCGCTATGCCAACTCACCACACAGCTCTGTTCCTGTGAAGTGGGGGATAAAAATGTATATTTTACTCAATTGCCAAGATAGTCAAATAAGATGGTGGGTGCTCTAGTTCCATTTCTCTTGCTGTGATAAAATACCCTGACAAAAGGCATTATGGGAGAAAATTTATTTTGCTTACAATTCCAGGTTAAAGTCCATCATTGAGTGTGTGGGGGTGGGGAGGGTCAAGGCAAGACAAGAAAGAGATAGTCAAATAGCATCCACAGTCAGGGATGGATCTGTGCATGGATCTGTGCTTTTGCTGGTACTCAGCTCAGTTTCTCCACTCTTATACAGTTCAGACGCCCCCCCCTGCATAGGGAATGGTGCCACCCACAATCTCCCACTGCATGTCCACAGGCCAACCCAATGTAGACAATCTCTCACGAGACTCTTCTAGGCCATGTCAAGTTGGCCGTTAGGTCAAAGTGTGACATGCTCCAAACACTTCTGATTTCCTTTACTCAGGTGATGACCACTCCCGTCTTGTTCCTTACAACAAGGAAAGGGGTTTAAAACATCAAATTACACTTACGTGGTGTTTTTGCATTTCTCAATTTCCTTGAGCCGCCCAGGTGGGGGGGGGAGGGGAGTTTATACTCTGTGATCAGCGGCTCTCACCCTTCCTAATGCTGCCACCCTTTAGTACAGTTCCTCATAGGGTGGTGACCCCCAACCATAAAATTATTCTCGTTGCTACTTTGTAACTGTAATTTTGCTACTGTTATGAATCAAAATGCAGATATTTGATGTGCAGGTCATCTGATATTTGACCCCCAGAGGTGACATGACCCACAGATTGAAAGACACTGCTCTGTATAAACTCAGCTGTCCACCGCCCTCGGAATGATACCAGTGGCGTTGGCACTAGGCTTCTGTCCTCAACTGAGCCCTGCCCAGCCTGCTCAGTAATGTCCTTGAGCCTGTTTCCCCACTCTCAGAAAGGCATTCCCCTAACGGCTCAGCCCGAGCACCTCCACATGTCCGTCCCCTTCTTCTCCTGTTGTGACCCAAGAGAGGCACCCAACCTTGTTGCATCTAGCTTCTGGGTACTTTTCTCTGGTCCCCGTCCCCCTCCCCCTCTTCGCTGATTCCCCATCCACCAGCCGCTTCCCACCAACATCATCGTATTCCTATATGACTGTAGAGTAAGGCAACAGGCACTACTGTTCAGTGCCGTGTCTTAAGTAATTTGTTTTTCTCTGTACTGGGATCAAACCCAAGGCCTGGCCTGAGTTCTTGCCTACGGAGCCACATCTCCAGCCTTGTTTTAAGTACTTTAACAAACATCTCATCAGCATTTTCCTCCAATCTTTGGAGGCCCCCTACTTTATAGCAGAGGGACCCAAGGCACAGATAAGTTGAGTGCCTTGCTTAAGACCTCACAGTTAGTGAGCCAGGAAGGACAGAGCTGCTCTTTAAACCAACTTGGCCCCTATCCCAAATTCCTCTCCTATATCTACTCTCTCTTCACTCCAGAGCAAAATTTTTAGAGGACTGTTCACACAGCTGCTGAAACTCCAGGGGACCTACTTAACCCTGTTATAGGCTCCCACGCAGTCAAATGCTCTGGACCTGCCTTGGTTTCTGTGCTGTCCTATCTGAAGTGGGCCAGAGGCCTCTCGGCCTTCCCTTCATGCCAGCACCTTCCTCGTCTCGTTCAGGCACTCTTCAGAGTTGTTTCCTCACCACGGTGGTTCTTCATGGGTTTCTCTCCCACATCCACCCGCTTTGGTCCCATCTCTTCTGCTTCCAGTTCAGGGAATCTCTATGCTCTGAGTAGCATTGTGTCAGCCTCCAGGTCTTTGGAGGTGCACCTGAGCCACACCCACTTCCCCTGGAACATCTCAGTGCCAGCACAGATGGCGCACCTACCGCCCATAGCCCAGGCATGCTGTCGGGAGCCTGCCTGTGGCCCCCTTCCCTTCCACTTCCCTTTCCTCGGGCAGGTAACTGTCGACCTGCCATGTCATGTCAGGACGAGATTAGAGCTAAGAACAGAGTTTGGATGATAGTTTCCGGATCAGGGCTCTGCTCTGGAAGTGCAAGGGGCCTAGGACCCTGGGGGATTTTGCAACGGGAACCTGTGTCTAGTCCTGTGCTAGCATTTGGGGAATCTGTCGAGCTACCAACCTGCGCTCCTCCGCCTTCTCTCTCACCCGGAGGGTGGGAATATCCTCCGTGTTGGGAACCCAGCTGGCAGGCAGAAGCCAAGGGAAGCAATGTCTGGGCGAGCCGAGCGGGTGGGGCTGGACTGGGTTGGTTCCCCAGGCTGGCCTGGGGCGGGACGAGCGCTCCTCCCACAAGGAAACTGAGACCCAGATTGCATCTGCTGGGGTCGCGGGTGCTAACTGACTTGCAGTCCTCCTGCAGTGACTGCACACTCAGAACAACAAATGCAAGAGCACACACACACACACAGCTTTGAGCTCCAGGCTGAAATCCTGCCAGGGCAGGAGCGGAAAAGCAGCAAGTCTCAACCACGACTTTGAGCCTGACCTCAAGGTTGTAAGAGCTCTTTGACTCACACCTAGTAGATGATTTTACTCTAAGAAGAAGTTCAAACGTGCTTCCCTTGCCACAGTGTCAGAAGCCCTAACTCTGACCTGTGGCCCCAGTGCACTGGAAACTTTTCGTGCCCAGTGGTCTTTGGAATAAAGTTTGTTTCTGGTTCCTAGACTTTGGTGGTCTGTACTGCATTATTTTGCGCACACCTGGGACCCAGCAGTGCCAGGATACAAGTTTGATTTAAAAGATAAAACCAAACCAAACGAACAAAAAACTCAACTTGTATTTTTTTTTGGAGCCAGCAATCTCACAAGGACGCCTTCTGCACTCAAATGTTCTGATGGCTAGTGGGTCCCACCTGGTTAATTTGGTTTGGGCTTCTGAAAACCTTCACTTGACTTCTAAATGGATCGACTTGTTCATTTGTTTGTTTGTTTATTTATTATTTATTTGAGACAAGGACTTGACTGTGTAGCCTCGCTGATTCCAAACTTTAAGCCTTAGCGTCCCCAGTGCTGGGTTTTGTTTTGGACATGCGGGTGTGTTTGTCTCCACCCCTGGCAGGCCTCTCTGGCTTTGGGTTTCTAACAGTCTGGTGACACTGCTGGGCTGGGCTGGGCATCTACTGGCTGGAGAAATTAAGTGCTGTGTCTCAGGAACCTCCCAAAACACAATCTGTGTAAGCATGGTCAGAGGCAGTCTCTGAGGTTTTCCATTCGGCTTTTAATACTTTTGTTTTTGTGTTTTGACAGGATCTTGACATATCGTTCAGGCTAGTTTAGAATTG